TAATAATCATCTTGCCATATATGACAAGCGAAAATTTGTGTATGTAATAATTTCGCCAAAATCATTCTTACCTAACAAAAAAATATATTCACTGTTGTGTTCAGTATTAAATTCCTCAAACAAATCTAAAATATTATTTTATTGGGTTTACTGCTAGAAATAAATTACTTCTCTTCTTATAATAAGGTCATAGGTAAGTTTTCTAAGATTCTATTCAGTCAAAATAGAATTATAAATTTTTTTATAATAACATTAATGAACAAAAATATATCTTTAAAAAGTATAAGACGAAAATTTTAAGAAAGGACTTAATTTTTAATGAGTTATTCTTGCAACTAGACCGCAGTTGTTCATATTCGTCCACGGAGCATATATACTAATTATATATATATATATAGTATATATAGAGATACAATATATATATAATATATGTATATAATATAATATACTATACTATATTATAATATATAATATATTAATTATATAGAATTTAAAAGTATAATATATAGTATATAGAAATATGTTAAAAGCGTATATATATATATATATATAAAAATATATAGATATTTATACCAAGTATATATATATAATATATATATCATATATATAATATAATATATATATATATATATCATATGTAAACATATATATTATATATAATATATATATATAATATTAATATATATTATATATATATATGTATATATTTATAAATAAAATATAAATGATATATATAGTATAAATATATATAAATTATTACTTATATTATATATAAATTACATACATACATATATACTATGATAAATATATGATAATATTATATATATATATATATGTATATCTATATATTATCTCTTAATGTATATATAAAAATAAAATAGGAATATATATAATCTATATAATATATAATATATATAATTTGTGGTAATATAATATGTAATGTATATTATATAGTATATATATATATAATATATATATATATTCATATATATATCTAAAATAACGAATATATAAACATATATAAATATATATGTATATGTATAAAAAATATATGAATAAATAATATATATAAGATGCGTAAATATATGTATATATATATAATATAATATCTAACAATATATAAAAATATCTAAAAAAAATCTCAAAGCATATATCAATAGAGATCTTAACTAAAATCGGCCGTTTCCCACCAAGGCAGCGGTGCCACGAAAAAGAAAAAATTTTCTTCATCATTTCTTCCATCACTGTCTTAGGCTCCAAAGGAGCTGCTTTGCGCTACAGTTAGTTAAAACGCAACATACGCACTCTCTCCTTAAGAAGTGCAGAACACTGTACCTGCGCCATCATCAAGGAGCGACAAGTCGGACCTGCCGGTTTCCCCCCTGAATAACCCTTCAAACATGTTACTTTGCTCACACTCCAACAGCAACGTTATGCATCCTGAAACAACCATTTGGCTCCATTACACGTCCTTATCAGTTTACGCTCACGCACGCTTGCTGGAAACCCAAGTCCTCGTCCACACATAACCACCTTTAAACCCCCCCCTCCAACGTGATCCTAGACCGAGCGCCTAGTCCTGCCTTGCCGTCCACTACACATCATACACTTCATCTGGACGTCATTCCTGTTTGTCCAGACCCTCTCACATGCCCAAAACCACCTCAAGAACCCCCACCTCAGTATTTGGTAATAACTCTGCATCTCCATTAACATACAAACTACGGATTCACTGCAATAAAGATCCACGCCACACATTGCCCTCAGACATGACATCTCCTACTCTCATCCATCCTTCTCCATTGTTGCCAAACATTCACCACCCATACTTCCACCTCATATAACAATGTTTTGGTATTATAACTATACATCTTCATAAATTTCCTTCTTTGCTTCACATAATTATTCTTTGTCCTCCACAGACACCATAAGTGCTCCACTCACCCTTTTTCCCACATCAGTTCTATGATTCACTTCATCTTTCCATAGAGACCCATCTGCTGCCCGTACGATCCACTGCTAAATATCTTGAATAGGATTTCACCTCCTCCATACTCCTTCTCCTTCCAACTGGATATCCAATCTTTCTCACTAATTTTTTTGTTATCTTCATCGCCTTACTTCAATTTTCCTTTAATTTTTCCCTTTTTAATTTTCTTCTTTTACATAGCCCTGGGGAGCGCCCCAAAACATCATGGCCAACCTCTCAACTTCACGTTCAAAAATTTCCAAAAAGACACAGTGTCATCAGCAAATAGCACTGTGACAACTCCCACTTTGTGTTAGATTTTATATCTTTAACTGCCGTCCGCTACAACTTTTTGCCAACACACTTAGCATTCACCTTTCTATTACAACCCCATCTGTAATATATATTTGAACACCATGGACGTTAACTCAGACCTTGTCAAAGGCCTAATTTTTGCGACAGTGGGAAATAATCTCCCTCTAACCTACCTCTCTAAGCTGAGCCTTCCTATCCTCGTAAAAACTCTTCACT